GAGTTGCGTTTATGCAGTGATTATTTGCGACGACGATCAGGCCAAGGTTAAAGTTGCAATGGTAGGCGAGAAAAAACAGGATAAATACAGGTCACAAGTCAGGCTAACAGCTTAGGCAAGTCCTGTAGAGTTCGGATCACCATGCTGTGAGAAGTGGTAAGACAAACGTTACTTTTGCAAGACAGAAGAACGGTTGATTTGTTGGAACACCTCAATTCGTATTTGGAGACATCGGTTGGACTGACATGTAATTACCAACCAACTTCCACTTGAAAGAGCCTTGCAAACCATCTGTGTTACTGGCGGTTTAAGGCTGCGTCATTTCTCCACCGATGTATTACTTGGATTTCTCACAAATCAACTGCCGTCCTCCGATGTCTCGGTGGTGCCTGCCGCTTAATCATTCCTCGTCTTTTTACACTACATCGACTTTAAGCGGGCCTGGAAAAACGGTGTATTAGACCTGACGATTAACCCTAACTCAACCTCCCTCGAAATGTTTTGTTTTGCTAACAAAAGGAAAACGTTTTACGCTGTTTAATGTACGATGATATCGGCCTCATCCTCGCCTCCTCTCCCCCCACACCGGCACACCGGTTCGAGAATTGCCTGCGACTGTCCGGTTGTGGGCACTAACGATGTGGAAAATCGATACTGGTTGACTAGACGATATGGAAAGTAAGTGCAATCATGATACCCCTACATGAATAAATCGTAAACGCCATTTACAGTGAAAACTAGGCTAACTATTCCTGGACTGTAGGCAGCAGACCGAACATGAAATGTTGCACTGTCAAGATATGCTGACGCAAGCAAAGACTCATATCTGTATCCCTTGTTGCTTTTTAATTGAAAAAACGGGGAAAACTTGAAAATAAGAGACTTAAAATTGATTAGGCTATTTGCGTGGACAGCGAGTCTGGCAATCGTTTGACGGCATCGACGCCCTTGTCGAGAAACAGTGGCTTCCAGGACGTATCTGTCGAATTCCGTCGAAGTGCTTCTTTTCTCATCCGTCCGTACTAACAGAATCAGTATCGATAAACGTTATCATACGGAAATCCTGTAAACAATATAATCCGATGTACCTTAGTCATTACCAACAACACCATTAAGACCACCACCGATATTTCATCCGTTTCCAACGGTGGGAAACATCGCGATTTTAGAGGCCTCAGTGTTTTTATAGTGTTTTTTTAAATCGTTCTTTATATTTGGATTTAAAATTTCAGCGACAGCCTAAAGCTAAAACTACTGGCAACTAGCTTCAACGCAGTGCTGAGAAGACCAACTAGATTTTATACGCCTGCCACACGCGACCTGGTGCCTAAATGAGCACCATCTGTGCCTCGAAGAAGTGGACATTTCAAGACCTCTGGAAACTGAGGTTAGCATGGGGGAAAGTAAGAGAGAGCCATCGAAGCCTGCCCATCCACTCGTTTGCATTACTTGGATTTCTTGCAAATTAAAGGACGTCTCCCGATATCGCGGTGGTGTCTACCGCCTATTTTTTTTCTAGGTTTGACGTTTAATCCCACATTCCGTTACTCAACCGCTGGCCTGGCGTTTTGCTGATCCCTACATTCTTCCCCCTACGTCAGATGTTTTGTTTTGTTAAGAAAAGGTAATTTTTTTAATTTTTAAAATTTACGAGGAGGTTGACCTCACTCCGAGCTCTTTCTGCGACTAGTAACAGCTCAACTATGATTATCGACGGTGTCTACAGCATGCTGGGCGTAGGGGGCAGTGATATACGCATGAATTAATGTATAGTGGTCAAAGACTTGCACCGCATCTGCCGCACACCCCCTAACTCATCTGCCTGAAGCCCATGTCAAGCCGGAGTCGAGAAATCCTTGACAGAGCGGAATCGATGAGACAGGGCATCTTCATTCTGAAAAATCGATTCTGGTTGACCAGACGATAGTAAGTCCGCATGGTTAGATTTTAAACGTTCTTTACAAAGAAAACGTAGGCTAACTTCTCCTAGGCTGTAGACAACTGTCCAAACAGAGAACCTAGCGTTAGCAAGATAATTATGCCATCACGGAATTGTTAGCACTTAGCCCTCAATCCCAGCATCTTACGCCAATGCATTGCGGTCAAAACCGTGATTTGAGAGTTAAACTAACTAAGTCCTAATGGGCCGAATGCCACCTATGCCGTCGACCCAGTCTATCCAAGTTGCCTAGTTCGTAGTTGTCGTTAAAACCGGACACTTAGGGAGGCTTCCTGTTAAGTCGCATTTCGTAGAAGTCTTCTTAAAGGAATGGAAAGAGGCAAGAGATCCATCTTTACGCTTCAAACATAAAGGGCCTATTAACGGAAAACCTTTCACATTCGAGGTGCAGATCCAAGGGACATATGAACCGATGGAACGCGTATCCAACTAGCCACTTGAGATTGATCACAGACCACCGTTGCAGCTTGAAGACCGTTGCTAGACGGATAATACCCAGTCTTTTCGGTCGTCATAAAGTAGGTGAGCTAACTCATGAAATGTCAACCGAAATTCCGAAATGCATTTTTGTTTCGAATAGATAAATTAGGTAGGATTGTAAAACTAACCATCATGCAGCATAATTCTATAATAATTCAGTTACCTCAGGATGCCCTCTTTCGAACGAACTTCTTTCCGGCTGCATGCAAAATGTATGCATCGTTAAAAATAACCACTTAAGTAGCATGCATTTTTCTCATTAATTTTCGATGCCCTTGAAAATCTAAATACATTTCGTGGAAACATGCATAAAAATATTTAATATTCTGTTCATTCGGTAGAAGATTACGTCTTCTATCATTGTTATACTCGACGGAAGCGTATAATCCAGTTTTAAAAAAGTCTCTAATTGTGAGATATTTTAATAGCGATTAATAGCGATTAATTAACAATATAGTTCAAATTCACTGCTAAATCTTATAAAACATTAGTCTCCTCTTAATACCGTAGAGAGATATATGGTTTCTGAAAATCAATGAGAAAAATGCATGCTAATTAAGTGGTCAATTTTTACCATGCATAAATTTTGCATGCAGCTGGAAAGAAGTTCGTTCGAAAGCCAGCTTCCTGATGCAGCTGAACTATTATAGAATCATGCTGCAGTATGATTACATTTGCAATCCTACTTAATTAATCTTTTCGAGACGAAACCGCATTTCGGAATCCCGGTTGATACTTCTTGGGTTAGCCCACCTACTGTAGTCGCCATCACCTCACTTGACCGCCGATATTGCTGGAGGATAGCTAGAAAGAATCTGCCAATAATTTGGTTACCCGGTACCTTGATTTGCGCCTGTTTATCACATCAGCGTCTGGTGGGCGTTTCTTCTCCTCCCGGATGACATGATAAATTCAAAGAACTAATTGCATCGTGGCGATCCAGACAGACAACGGCCTGGTTATTAGTCTCGCTGAATGGCGGTCTATTTTTTTAGGCAAAACCATGCATGAGGCGACCGACAACATGGGGCAAGCTGCCTTTGTTCAAAGCTCAGCCGCAGTCTCAAGGTCATCCAGACTCCTCGAGAACATTCTTTAGATCCTGCGGCATGGTGACATGACATGTCTATCTGTGAAATCTACCAATCAGAATAACGATACGATTAGTTTGCCATTCATGTAGGACATAGAAATGTTCAAAAAGGACCATTTTAACGATCATTAGAGTCAGACCAAACTGCTTCAGAATACCATCCAGTGTCGATTTAATAGTTCGTCGAATAGTCTTGATAGATTTAAATTCAGAAAGGTAACCAGAACTTGCTGACAATACCCAAGACATTTGCAGTAAAACCTGCATCGATTGAACAGAATGCTTTCAAACAACTTTCGATGCCGTAGGCCCATGTTACCTTACTACCAGTCAACTGATTTCGAACATAGTCGTTGCCGGTGAGGGTAAGGGGATTATGCGTATTTTGTGATATTACAAAAGCTTTTTACCTCTCATAATTTGCAACATTTTACGCAGATCCGATCCTCATTTTTAAACAAATTAGCTTAATGGTTTTCGAAAAAACGTTTACAGGAACGCACTGCATACAGGCCTGCAACGTAAACCGATAGCTAGGCTGTCCAAAGCATTCAGTGATTGCTTCGTATTATCGTCCATTGGTGTTCGTTCATGGTGCCCTCTCTCTGATTATGTACGTGTGTGCGTGTGATTCCGAAGCGTCGTTCTTTACTAAGAAAAACCTTGCGACTTTTCCTAATCTGCAGTGAACCTCCCAAACATGGGACCTTGCATTACCAAGATAGTCATGTCATCACGGAACCATCCGCCCTAAGCCCTCGACTTCAGAATCTTACGCCATTCCATTGCAGTCAAAACCGTGATTTGAGAGTTCGATTAACTGCGTCCCAATATGGCGGATGGCACCTATGCCGTCATCTAAGTCTACTCAAGATGGCTAGTTTGAGGTTCTCATTAAAGAAAGGCATTTCAGAAGGCCTCCTGGACAGATGTGGGTATCTAGCCGCACCTGAGGCAAACAAGCCCCAGCCTCCTATAATACGGGATCGGTGGGTTCGGGGAACGCAGAGGCGGCGGTGTCGAGTAACTGTATGCGAAAGAAAAGCTATTGGGAATATGTGGTTGTACTTTGAGTGGTTGAAAGTAATTGACATAGACCCTGACCCTAATCCTAACTCTAAATCCTAACTCCCTAACCCTAACCCCCAACCCTAACTCTAGGCCCTAACTCCCTAAACCTTTAATCCTAGCCCTCATCATTAACTGCAGCTCTAAACACGAAAGTCAGAAGGAGAAGACAGGCCGAAAGTCAAGAATGACCACGGACATTGGGCCGAAAAAGGTAGACTTGGCAACAAAGAAACAAGGCAGCCAATAGAACACACACCACAGCACGCACAGCAACACCATGACAACATAATCACACTAAATTAAAATCAATAAGTAGGTCAACAGTATTGTATCCATCAGGTGCAGCTCCATAACCACATCTTACCGGCCTCCTTGCCTCTAGACCGCATCTCACTTTCAGGCCACAAACCTAAGAGGAATATGGACCGATTGAAGCGGACACCCATCTAGCTTCGGGAGATTTATCTGAAGCCGCAGTTCCTGCTCGAAGACCACTAAACGAAATTCGTATTTCCAGTCATCATCATCATCATCATCATCATCATCATCATCATCATCATCATCATCATCATCATCATCATCATCATCATCATCATCATCATCATCATCATCATCATCATCATCATCATCATCATCATCATCATCATCATCATCATCATCATCATCATCATCATTATCATCATCATCATCATCCCCACACTGGCTCGCTGTTATTGCTGGAAGATTGCGAGACGGAATCTGCGAATAATTTGGCTACCCAGTGCCTTGATCGCAACTGCTTAACACATCACCATATGCCAGGCGTTTCCGTTCACAGATGACCTGATGACTTGAAGGAAGTAACTGCCTCGTAGAGCGGGCAAAAGCACTCAGCCCCAGCTTAAACCGACACTGTGATTTGGTCCCGTGCCTCTACTTCGTGGGACGGGCGATCCAGACAGACAACGGCCTGGTTATTGGCCTCGCTGAATGGCGGTCTTTTTTTAGGCAAAGGCATGCATAAGGCTGCTCTGTAGACGGCCGCCAACATGTGGCAAGTTGCCTTTGTTCAAAGTGCAGCCACAGTCTCAAGGTCATCCAGACTCCTTGAGAACTTTCTCAGACGTACCGACCTCACAGCCTCACCAATTGTCTCAAATGACTTTATAACAGACACTTGCATCTCCAGACGGTAAAGGCGCTACAATAGGTGCGCAACAGGACTCGGGGCTCTTCAAAGTTCCCCCGACAGCCAATAGAGGCAACAGATTATCAAGACGCGTTCCCAGTGGCATGATGACGTGACTTCCTCGGCGACCACTGCTGCCTGTAACAGCAGTTCAGGCGTCTGTACAGAATGAATTCTTATAATACTTCCTCCTATCTTCTTCTACTGGCGTTCGATTACTGGGACTATGTGTGGTGGTTGAGATAGACTCACCCCACTGACCGATGAAGTTGTCTTCTGGAGTCAAGACTTTCTGTCTGTACAAGAAAGAGAGAGTCTTCGTAGGGAACAAAGGCAACTGTACATAATTCTAATTCAATGTGAATGGATGAAAGACCACAGGTGTAACGGCACCTCTCCTTGACTTTTGTGAGAACCAGCTTTGGAGTACGCCTAACCGCCCGCTAAGAGGACAATCGTCCAAAAGAGGAAAATCGCAGGATCTGTGACCACCGTGCGAATGTGTAAAGCCACATTGAGTTGTGCAGCTCTTTAAGGCCTCTCCCAGAATTTCCAATGCAGATTCTAGCACTGATTCAGTTAGAATACACGGGATTACTGAATAATGTTGGCGTGAGCTCCTCGGGGCAAGATATTTCATGCATGCAACTATTTAGACTAAAGACTATTCAATCCTGACTCGCAGTGGCATGATATTCCCCCCTGTCAAATCCACCAATCAGGACATCTGAACGGATGAAGGTCAGTTTACTGTCATGTGCAAAAAGGATCATTCCAACGACGATTGATGTCAGAGCAAACGTCTTCCGAATGCAGTACAGTACCAACCTTAATAGTACATCGACTTGTCTGCACGGGTTGATATTCAGAAGCTTATAGGGGCGTAATTGGAAGGTACCGATCATGCCCCGATCATTCGTAGTTAGACATTCATCGAATGAACGGAAATCTGCCAGGCAGTCTTTGATGTTCATTGATTTGACATTGTGTATGCCCAGTATTTCCCTCCTACCGGTCAGTTGTTACTGAACAAAGATGTAGGCCTTCCTTGCCGTCGTTTGCGATGGGGGAAGGAGTTTTGCGTATTTTAGGTTACCAAAATGGCTTGCTTTACCACTCATGTTCAATAACATCCAACGAAAGTCCAAATCTCAGACAAATGCCAGACAAACCTCCCAGTTTTCTCTCCTACCGTTTGCAATGGGGAAGGGCTTTTGCGTATTTTAGGCTGCCACTAATACTACTACTAATACCACCACCACTTCTACTGCTACTACTACCAATACTACCGCTGTTACTACTAATACTACTACCACTGGCGGGAATACAGTGTCGCAACACTGAAGAAAACCTTTTCCCCCGTCTACCACCACTGATACGGCGAATACTACTAATAATCCTGCTATTAGTACTACTGCTACTACCACCGCCACCACGGCTGCCAATGCTACTCTACCAACGCTTACAGTATAGGTAACTAACTGCAATAATACTAGCATCAGTAACGGGGTGTTGCGACACTGGTATCCAACCAAGTTTTTTTCCCAATCATTTTTAGTGACACCAAAACACAACTCTGAACAATTAAAAGTAGCGATTGTCCGGCAAACCTCCCAGAGGAACGCACTGCATGCCAGCCTGTTATATCACCCACAAGCTGGGCGGTTTATAACAATCAAGCATTGTTCCATAACACCATCTGGCGGTGTTTGTTCATTGTATTTTCTCTGAGTATGTACTCTAGTGTGGATACGTAACGTCGGCCGCAGAAAATGCCTGTTCTAGCCATCGCGTCTCATTGTCATCAGCGTTTGTCAAGTCGCTCTTTTTCCAGCTCCCAAACTGACAAGGCACGATGATTTTATAATGGGACTGATCTCAGCCGACTGTCGCTTAGCCATTTGCTATATCTTTGCCAAATTGTAATCCACAGGACTGTTTTCGCTGTTTTGAAACCCAGTTGTTCTCCAAAGAACACCGTTTCCTTGCAAGTGTCAAACACTTCTCAAGGGTATTTTCATCCATCTTTTCGATCCAGGCCAGCATTGTTTTGTCATTTCTAAGCCCAGTGTTTTTGCATGGCCTGACATTTTACTATGGAAAGCATAACCCTGTTGCAGAGTCACAATTTCGACATGATATTCTTGCCTTATTCTGGTAGCATGTTTTTTAAAACTCCCGTTAAACAAATTAGTGGAGACATTTGATTTGTTTCGGAAACTGGAGGCAACACAACCATAAGTACAATTAAAGCCTCTAAGATATTTTCGCCTTGTTCTAATAGCGAATTTTTTCGGACCTAGATTAAACGGATTGGTTGAAACTGTTGGCAGCAACACTTAAAATGGGTGTGCTAACTCATGAAATAATGGCTTTCGAACGAACTTTCTTCTGGCTGCGTACAGAAACTGTACTCTGAAACAAATGACTGCTCAAGTAGCATGCATTTTTCTCACTGATTTTCGATGCCCCTAAAAGTCTAGTTATATTTAATTGAAAACATGCATAAAAATATTCATTCTTCCGTTCAGTCGGTAGAAAAGTACGTCTTCTGTCAGTTTTATACTCGAAGGAGGGACATAATTCGGCTTTAAAAAGTTTCTTTTAGTGAGAATTTATATACCATGAAATGGTCGTTCATAAAACGTCATGTCTCTGCATTTACCAACGTGGCTTGTAAATTAAACAATATGGGTCGAATCCAATGCTAAATTTTATGAACCCCATATGGTCTCCTTTTGATATTGTAGGGAAATGTGTGGTTTTCCGTACGCGAAAATACATGGCTTGTAGTTTGGAAACCCTGAATGCAAGTGTGATGGCCGAGCGGGTACAAAATTGATCGGGAGTAAGAAAAGTTTTCGAAAACCGAATAGTACCCTTCCTTCGAGCACAAAATTGAAAGAAGACGTAATTTTGTACGAAAGAAACAAAAAAATAAATATTTTTATGCTTGTTTTCCAGGAGATATAATTGAATTTTTACGGCCTTCGAAAATGGATGGAAAAATGCATGCTACATAAGTAGTCATCTTTTTCAGACTATAGTGTCTGTATGCAGCCGGAAGGAACATCCTTCAAAAGCCATTCTTTTGAAGTAGCTGAGTGATTACAGAATTATACTGCAGACTGATTAGTTTTACAACCCTTCTTAAATAATCTTTTCGAAACGAAAACGCATTTCGGAATTTTGGCTGACATTTCATGAATTAATCCATCTACTGTAATCTGATTACATTAGACATTGCCTTACCTGGCTTCCACTGTTCACTGGCATACTACTGATTCATGTTAACAACAGCAGCTACAGGGACGCGATTATTCAAGGGTAGCTGGAGCGTTACTATTGAACTCCACATTAATCACTCTCCTAGCCTTTAGCTGTCAGTCAACCGCCTGGGTTTCCAAGATGTTAATGAAAAACGGGATTTTCCATTAGGATGAAAATCTGGAATGGAAAATCTCAGCTTGAGGGCACGTGCCCCTTATGAAAGAACCGAATCGCGAAACACCCAAAATTCACATGATGTGCTCCACTCACAGAGCTTACGAATGCACAACGCCACCTCCCCCCTTTGACAACTTGACCGCTTCTGAATACGTAAAACCTACGGCAGTCAAATAGTGGAATAAGTCTAGTTGACAAGAGCACTGTGAGCATAATTTGCAACCAGCAGGTGTCGGGATTACCGCGCTTTCAACCAGCATTTTTCTAATGCAGTCATATACTTTGTCAAGATTTGGACGCGGGATTTTTGCGTTTACCAAAAAACAATCCAAAATTAAATCTTCACCCTTCTTTCAGCTCCGAAACTGACAAGGTATGGTGATTTTATTGTGAACCTGATCTCAGCCGACTGTCATTTAACTATTTTGCCAATTTCTAATCCACAGGATTGCCACTATTAAACATTTTCTAATGGATTTTTCACCAGTCATAGACATCCAGGCCAGCGTTGTTTTGTCTTTTCTAAGTCCCCTGTTTTCGCACAGCCATGCAATTTTCTGTGAAAGGCATAAGCCTATTAAGAAGTCGCACATTCGCCGTAAGATATTTTCGCCTGGTTCCAATGGCAATTTTTTATGGCCCCAATAAAACAAATTGATGGAAAAAATTGATCTGTTCCGGAAAATAGCTGCAACACTTAACCATAATTACAAGTAACGTCTCTTTGCCAGACAACTGTCGTTCACTGATGTATTACTGATCAACGCTGATGACATCAACTAGAACGGTGCAAGTATTCAAGGGTAACTGAAGCTGTAATATTGAAGTCCACAGCAATCACATACCTAATCCTCACCCGCCAATCACTTTCCTGGATTTCTAATTTGTTAATGAAAAACATAACTTTCCATTGGGGCAGCAATCAGGACTGTAAAAACACAAATTGAGAGAACATGCACATCAAATTCACATCATATGCTCTATCCCCGGAACTAACGAATGTACAACGCCACCTCCCCCCAAGAGTGTGCGAGTTTTCGGCATTTTCTTTTCCTGATTAGCAAATTAAGCAATTTGTGATGTCTATCACCACTAATCTCTTCAGAGTGCTAGACAAATTAAACACGACCGGAGGTAGGCTCGGACGTAGTAACCGAATATCTACGCACCCTCAATATAGCCTAGCCCTTAACTCCTCATCCCCACGTCTACAGGATGCGTGCTGGGAAGATCAACTGATTGGCAAAAATGTACTTGTAAACACTCGTTAAGAGCATGTTAAGTAAACAGTATTGGAGAATTGCACAGATTGCATTCAGATTCCGGGGGAGGGGGTGGGTAATCGATTTATTTGCAGTTGTATCGCACGGCCGGCATGATAGTTCTACCGTCGTTGCGGACGATTTCCACCGTGTGCTCCGAATCAAGATGAAGCAGGCACAGAGACTTGCGCGGGAACTAGTTTATAGTGAGAGCCGACTTGCGCAGCATCGACCGCATTTTTCCCTCCCTCAGCTGGATCCGGTGTCGAGATATAATTAAGAAAACCGAAGGTGGAGAGGTGAATGGCGCGGCCAAGCCCGCATCCTGACAGTCCACTCCATACCCTTGGTTCACAACATACACTTGATAAGGATTTCTCACTACCAACAACAAAAAAAACACCACAACAGGTGTCAGAAGGACGAGGAGGAGTGAGCAGCCATGCCCAACCTAGCGAGAGTGCAAGCGCATTTCCGGCAGGGAACCAGGTGTCGTGGAACTGCCAGCGCATACCAGGCTGCGAGGGTCATGATTTGCTGATTCTGGCATAGCACTCGCTTTTAGACCTTTTGACCACGGGTCGGTAGAATGGGTAGGACACCGACGCGATAAATCGGGGGATAAGCAACTTCTATTGGTAATAACCGTCAATACAAGCAAAAATGCAAGCCCCAGAAAAAACTCATGAAGAGGAAGGAACGATCGCTCGAAACAGAGTTTTGGTCGTCTGGCTTTTCAAATTCACACTCAAACCAACCATCCAAGACGCTATCAACTGCGGGTATCTGATATTGTACCTTATCTGAAACTGCCATTGGATATGAATTCGAATGTGAATCCGAAACGTCAGGCGAATAAACCTCTTGTTCCAACGATCGCATCTTCCGTTTTTAAGTTTAGCCGTCCCACGTCACGATGTCCACAACCGCCTTAGGCAGTGCCTTGTGCGCGATTTTATTTCTTGTGAAGTAAACTTGCGCTTCATCCACAGCACTCTGTATTTTCCCATCATTAATCGCTCCCAAAAGCAAAAAACTTCAAGACGACCTTAGATGGACTCGGACAAACGGCTTGTCTTCCCACATGCACCAGTCGTCATTTAGGGTGGCGCAGTCGGAAATCTTCCATGTGCTGGAATGTAGTAGGGGTCATATTAAGGAAGAGCCACTGCAACCGAGCTCTCAATCCTGAGAAATGTCAAGTTAGCTAGTCAGTTGGGTGTCTCCAAACCACGACTGATAGCACGACGGGATGGCTTCAAGGG